ACCAACCTGAAACGGATAGACCACATAAATAACATGTGTAGTAAACTTAGTAAGACGGTTTTTGTTATCAGAAGAATCAAAAAAATAGTAAATCGAAGTGCAGCACTTGCAACATATCATTCTCTTTTTCATTCAGTCCTTAGGTATGGTATAATCAATTTGAATAATGCATCAGGGGAACATCCTAATAGAATATTTGGCATTCAAAACTCTGCAGTAAGAAGTATAATCTCTGCCAATTATGATGAAAAGCTGACTTGTGGCTCTTGTCCAAAACTGTATATTGGCCAAACTGGAAGAACATTTTCCCAAAGAATTGAAGAGCATAGAAGTGATTCTGTAAATAGAAAGACCAATTCCTCATTTGCAATCCACCTATTAGCAGAAGGACATGAGTTCAATCAGGAATACGATGTGTTACATTTAGAAGAGAAGAGTTTGAAACTCAATCTTCTAGAATGTTTAGAAATCAATAGATTCAGGAATTCGGTTAATTTACTGAATGATAAATTAGAATTAAATAACACTCCGTTACTGAATATTTTTTCAAATGTGGAAAACGGAACATAAGCTCAGGTAATTAAATTCATCACAAACTTAGGTAAAAAATCAGGTACTTGAAATTCAGGTACTTCAAATTGTAGAATAAGGTATATATAACATTTAATGTGTAGAATTAGTTATTAAGACACGCCCGAGGAAGCCATTGTATGGTGAAACGCGTGTCGCGTTTTTGTAAAACTATCTAGTGAAAATCACACAATAAAGTGTTTTTAGAATACGACCCTATATTCAGTTATTGTCTATGAAAATCTGCTTCTTGTTCAACAAAACTTGTTGAATCAAGTTGCTCACAAGGATATACACCAACATAATACAAGAAATAAATCAAACCTTGTTCCTACAGCTAATAGGTTGAAAAGAACAGATAATATAGGAATTAAGCTATACAATGCCTTATCTTTCGAATTTCGCAACTTGCCATTTAGAAGATTCAAAAACTTATTGAAGAAAATATTAACCAAACATCCTTTATATGGAATTGATAAATTTTTCGAAGTTATCCAAGAAGAAAGAGACACTTTTGTGGTCACCTCCCGAACTTTTACTCAACTTTGAATTTATATAATACGTTAGCTATGTGTTAATAATTTGTAAAGGCTCATGACTTTACATTTTAGTCAAGTCTAATAATATTGGAATTTTATCTTGTTAACTTGTTAACTGTGTGTTTCTTGAGACTAATATATATTATTATTATAAACGTGCTATCAAATGTAGTTGAGGAATAAAGGCTCGGCTAGCTGGAATGGCTGAATACTAATTTTTTGTCCGTTTCACAATATTTCTTTATCAGTGCCGTGTGTTCGTGGGGTTAGCTGAGGTAGTGAGTGGTTTTGCAAACCGATTTTTGAAAACTTTTTCTAGAGACCAACCTTCGACCAATTTCTCTTATACCATCTCTATCGAAACTTATAGAGAAACTTGTCAAGAAAAGAATGATATTCTTCTTTACAAAACATAATATAATAAACAATGCCCAATTTGGCTTTCAATCATGTAAGAATACTAGCGATGCTATCTTTGACTTCTTGGAAGAGCTATATTTAGGCCTAAATCAAGGCGAGGCGGCCGCTGCAGTATTCTGTGATTTTTCTAAGGCCTTTGAATGTGTAGATCACAGAATACTGCTGAAGAAATTATTTCTTTATGGTTTCAGAGGGCCAACCCTCGAATGGTTCAGCTCTTTTCTCTCTGACAGAAATCAAATTGTCAAGGTAGGAAATAAAACATCCAGTCTCTCCAAAATATGCCGTGGAGTTCCTCAAGGATCTGTTCTAGGTCCTATCTTATTTCTCCTATATGTGAATATTCTTTCTAACACCAATAACACCCTATGAAGTGGAAACAATTATCACAAAAACTACATCGAAACCGTCAGCTGGAATCGACGAAATAGATGGCAAAGTAATTCGTTTTGTGAAAGAGCAAATAAGCAAACCATTAGCACATATAATTAATAAATCGTTCACCTCTGGAAAGTACATTGATTCCTTGAAAATCTCTGAATCAATACCTATCTATAAAAATAAAGGGTCGAGAGATGACATGAATAATTATTATAGAAATATCTGCTTACAGAGTCAGATTGCAAAGATCATAGACATGGCCTTCAACACGAGATTAACAAGTTTCCTTGAATCTCGAAATCTCTTAGGCTCATCTCAACACGGTTTTCGAGAAAACAAGTCTACCAGTTCTGCTATGGCAGAATTATGTCTGCAACTATATGATGCTTTGAACTCAAAAAACAGCTCTATTGTACTCTTCTTTGATCTGAGTAAAGCGTTTGATACGGTCGATCACAATCTCCTAGTTGAGAAACTCTATCACATTGGTGTTAGAGGGACGCCACTAAATTGGCTCACATCGTATCTCGAAAATCGAAAACAAGTATTGATACTGGGTAGTGCAAAATCGGAAGAGAAAACTGTAAATGTAGGGGTACCGCAAGGATCGCTACTGGGACCAGTACTGTTCACTATTTTTGTCAATGATATCACCTCAACATGCAAACAAGCGCACAAAATAATGTATGCAGACGACAGAACTATGATAGTGAGAGAAAACAACTTAGCAAAAACAGTAGAAACTGCCAACACCGTTGCAAACCAATTTCACACATGGTGTACCAGTACGGGCTTGTGTGTGAACAGAGAAAAATCAAATTTTATCTCATTCATTCCAAAAAACATCAATAATACGTTCTGTTCCCTGATTAGAATTGATGGCAAAAGTATTGAACAGGTCACATCAACGAAGTTTCTAGTATTACCTTGGACCATAAACTAAGCTGGGAAAACCATACTAACAGCTTATGTAATAAACTGAGTAAAAACTGCTTTGTACTAAGGCAATTGAAGAATACAGTGTCAATGGACGTGCTGTTATTGGTTTACTATGGTTTGATACAATCAAATATATCCTATGGGTTGATATTTTGGGGAGGCTCAACTCAAATAGAAAAAGTATTTCTACAGCAAAAGAAAATTACTAGATGCATAAAAGGGGTACATCAAAGAATATCATGCAAAGAAATATTTACTGAATTATCTATTCTAACTGTGCCATTATTGTACATATTTCAAACTATTTTAAATGTAAAAAAAACAATTGGAAGTACTACCTACAAATAGTGCTCACCATAACTTTAATACACGAAGTGCAGGAAATTTGCAGCAGCCATTTTCGAGACTTGCCATTGGTCAATGCTTTCACATATACAAAGGCATCGTATTTTATAATTATTTCAAGAACAAATATGGCAGTGAAAAAAATTTCAATGATTTTAAAACTGAGAAAAGCATTCTATTCTGTGAAGGAATTTTTAAATGACTGAATATGAACTTTTTTAACAAATTTTAGCGTTGAAAGTAGGTTGTGTATGTAGAATAGTCTTATAAATAGGTATATATTCTGATTTTAGTTGACTAGTCTAATGAAGTAGTAACATTTGTGTACCAAATTATTTTGTAACATATTATGTTCTGCTTTTACAGATGATTAAATTCTATTCTATTCTATAAAATACATTTATGACAAGTCAGAAAAACAAATAGGTACAAGGTACAAAGTTTTCTATAGAATAAAATAAACAGTAAATTTGTAATAAGTTTACAAGGTACATTATAACATATTCAAATTAAGTGTGGAGATTCGGCGAGCATCTTCCTTCCGTCAAAAGTGTGTTTACTCTCATGTTCTAAATATTCTGAAGTGGAATAAAAACAGTTTTTTTTAAATATTTTTTTATAACTTTTTTAAAACAAAACATATTCATATTTTTATATTGGCAAGAAGTGCATTATACAATTTAAAATCACACGAGTTTTTTTGTGATTTCATCAGCCTGAAACGTTGAGGTCTAATAAAGTTGCTGTTACGTGTATCATGATTGTGTAAACTGGATTGCTTGGGAAACAAGGGGGCCCCTTTTGTGAATATCTCATAGGCTTGAGTAAACATACAAAGAAGGCAGACATAATTTCATGAGTGATGAATGATTCACGGCAAGAATCCCTAAAACCAATTCCAGCAACAATTCTCAGAGCTTTTTTCTGTGATATAGTCACTAGAATTTCCCCAAAGTAGAATACCGTAAGAAATGTGAGACTGTATGAGCGAGCAAAATACTATTTTCAACGTAGTGAAATTTGTTATTGGTTTCAGCTGTCTAAGTAACCAATTTAGCCTATTGTCTAGAGTAAAATCCAATAAGTTGACACACTGGAATTCAGGTAATGGCAGAGCCATAGAAACAATCATGTTTTTTGATTTTTCCTTATTCATCATGAGTTTGTTGACACTGAAGCAGTGCTCCACTTTGTCTTGTATTTCCATAGACTTATCAACAAGAGCTGAATAATTCATAGAAGAGAGCATTTCAATTTAATTTAAAATTTGTGTGATATCAATTTTGATTCCCTAGAATATATCAATACTGCATCTCAGTATTTCATGGAGAATTTTTAATTTTCTGGTACAACTTTTTTTGTTATTTCATTTTGTTATATTATAATTTTGTTATTCATTTTCTCAAACTGTAACCTTGTAATCATGAGGACCTATATTAATTTTTAATCATACTTAATCAACCTTGTAAATGGTTTTTAACTGTTGGGTAATAAAATCTATTATTATTATTATTATCGTTAGGAATCACACGTTAAAAGGTAAGACCTTGTTAGTCCTTATCTCGCACAAGTTTCTCAACTTCTGAGAGTGATCGTTCGTATGGGGGCAACAGCTGATTAACGACAAAATAGAAAACAGAAACAGATTTTAAACAGAAAACAGATTATTATCAAATAATTATTTTCAAATCGCTCAACCAAATCATCGTAACCAAATAAATAATCCTTGAGTATCATAAATGTTCATATTTCAAAGACAAAAAAAAATTGTGATGTTCGTAAATAATAAAAAAATCATAGACTCACCTGTCATAAAGTGAAGAAGAAGTGCACAAATAGGATAAATGGTTGGACTGTAAACAATATCTGGACAAGCATATCCTAACACTGACACAACACGATCGGTTATATTCCGCCCTTTGTGAGTCATATAATATGACTGACAATGTGATGGCTCCACAAAAGGGGGTAAGCTAATAGATTTATCCGGCAAATCAGTAGTTCCGAACACTTGATTGACCATGTCCCAATAAAATCCATCCATAAAGTTGGATTTCCCGTTTTGATGCTGGGTACACAGTAGGTACCACAGCTCCTTGCGGATGGGGCTGTTCACAGGCCACGGGTTGTTCCGAAGAAGTTGTTTGACATCTTGTTTACGTCCCTGCTGAAGGAGGGCCCTCACGTCGTTAATTGTCTTGAGAGGTTTTGAGGAAGGACTTGAAGGTATGACTGTAATTCCGCTGTAATCCACAAGAGGAGTGAAAACATTAGAGCTGTCATCTACTTCTTCCAATACTGAAGGCATTATCAACATTCCTGATGGTCTGGCTGCAGCCCCTCCTGGAGAGGAGCCCACTATGTTAGATCTTGAAACATTTTTTTGTACCTGGAAAAAACAAATTCACATTAACACTAGTTTGCTTGAAGACAACGGCTTGGATGACATGCCACTCACAATAAATCTGACCTCTAGTACCAACAGTTTAATAACAACTTCAAAGTCGAAATTGATTTTAATAAGATAATCAGCAATTTAACTGGATGTAGGTACTTGTGAAGGTTGACAAAATTTAATAACACCCCCGTCTCATCACAATCCGAGATGAATTCCATATAAATACTCACATTTATTTGAGGTTTTAATAGTAGCCTGAAATACTTTTTTCTAATTGGAACATTGAGGGCTTTGTGTGAATTGTAAATATTACAATCGATAAGCTTGGTCGTCTTTCTCTTCCCGATCCGAAAACCGACCGTTCACGCACTTCACTAGGTTGTTTTTCGACAACTGTTCGCGAATTTCAAGCAAACGACCAACTTTACTTTGAAATAAACACAATAAATATAAACGGCAAGTCAATTAGAGTAAGCAATATAAATAGCTCGGTGTTTATGAAAATGTTTCTTGTCTTTGAAGGAATTTTTTCACACTTCAAGTCCTCAAGACTGAATCATTTATGGTTCAGGACGTTCAGTTGTGACAGCCAACAATAATAACTCTTGTCACTTTCCTCTTAACCTTTCAAAGTATTTGTGGGTTACGGGCGCTCGATAACAGCCACTCCCAATTACAAGCAACACTCCGTGCAACACTCTGTATGAACAATTTTATCAACAAATCAAACTCACGTGACTCTCAAACTCTCAAGTCACCCAATCTTTTGGTACTGCAGATCCTCCGATCATTCACTTAACTGGCTGAATGACCTAAAAATCCCGGGAAAATGTCAATAAAAATCATATTTTCAACAAAGATTTTGCCCCGAAGTATGCAACTCATCTTACAGCAGGAGTACTCTTTACATGTTCTGTGTCTCGTAATTTGTTTTATGGTGGGATGTGATATGTGAATCAATATACTCTCCCGTCTCATTCTTTCATTAAGATTATGGAAGATAGATATAAAGGAGAATAATCTTACGACGGCGTATTAGCGACAACGAAAAAATTCAAAAATCTGTCGAGTGATTCTTTTTTTAATCTGACATTTACTACTTTACAAAATCTGTCAATTGAAATATTTGAAATCTGTCAGTGATTAAAATTTAGTTATGTTCCAAAAATATTTGTTTCTTAACCAGAGTTTTATAAAGTTATTTAGAAATGGTCAGTTTGACGTCTGAAAGGTAAGTGTAAAAAAATCAATAAGTTTTGAAGCAGAACCCATGTATATTCACTGGGAGTATTAGGATCCAGATAGTTTCTGAATTTCCTGTTGGAGTTAACATAGGTATATAATTCTTGAAATTCTTGAGAATAACGTTAGAGATTATGTCGGTGAGAATAACTGTCAATTATTTTTGACATTAGACGATTGTGTCAAATGTCAAGTGTGTCATTGATGAAAGCCAAGAGATAAAATTATTTTCGAAGAGGAAACTAGAACTAGTACAATGTAACCATATTGTTTTCAAGTAATTAATATTATTTAAATTGAAAGGAGTATATTTTCAGGAGAGATTGATTTCTGGGGAAGAAAGGTTTTGACTGCCTATACTCCATTTTTATACAAGAAATGTGAAAAATATTTCAAAGAAAGGAAGGAAGCAGTTAATTTCAGAATGAACTCTTCACAAAGAAGTGTAGATCATGCAAAAAAGTAACTTTCAGACACAAACTGGAAGAAAAAGACCTTACACAAGCAATTATTTCCATATGGGGTCCTCCAACAGTGACTTCCGAACCTTGACAATTGATAACGGCCATCTTGTTGAAACTACATCTGTCAAATTAGTTGTCATTTATTCAGTCTGGTTTGCTATATCACCATGCACGGATATAGCATTCAACAAAACGTGCAAATAATAAAATTGTTTTATCAAAATGGGTGTTCCATTCGGGCAACGTACCGCACGCTTCACCCATTCAGTTCAGTAAACGATCGACCAACACCCGTACGTCAACTAAACGCAAGATCTGTCAAAAACATCGCCGCTATCTGTGAGAGTGTGCAGGAGAATCCGTGGCAGTCGATTTCGCGTCGCTCACAAGAACTCGACTTTTCACAAACCACAACTTGGAGAATTTTGCGTCGTGACTTGGGCCAGGTAAATGACCATAGATAAAGACGTGTGTTTTCTGTATGGGCTCTGAAGCATTTGGCATTTTTTCATCGAAAAATCATTTTCAGAGACGTATGAACAAACAAAATTGTCGAATTCGAGACGATACCAATCCACATGAGATCCAAGAGCGTCCAATGCAACCCTAAAAAGTCATCAGTCCATATTTCTTTGAGAATGAATGTTAGCCAGGCCATCACTGTCAACGGCGAGCACTATATAGTTCGATGATTACCAACTTGTTTCTGTCCTGAATTGGATGATCTGGACACACCACACAGTTCAATCCACATCGGATATTCACAGATGGATCAAAAACCCAGGTTCGGGTGCCGGTGTTTTAGTGTCAGATCCAAGACCTACCAATGGACTTATGCAACTGACTCCCTTGCTACAAGCAGCTTCATTGTATCAGAACCTGTCATTGGCATTGTTTCAGAATTTAGGCTTTGCCAAACAAACATTGAACACCTGCTTGGCAAAAAGATATATTAACTTTTGGCAAAATCTTCCAGGATTGACTCACTCCAAGTGTGTTCGCTGAATGGGACCTGAAACAGTTGGCAATTGACTCTAATTTTTATTGAAAAATCATCTTTAGCGACGAGGCCCATTTCTGTCCTGAATTGGATTATCTGGACATCAAAGACATGTGGCTTCAACAGGACGGCGCACGGTCATTTCTCGTGGAGGTGATGTGAACTGGCCACCGAGATCGTGCGATTTGACCCCGTTAGACTTTTTCTTGTGGGGTTTTCTTAGGCACAAACCACAGCGGTCCTCAAAACCATCGGTCCATAAAAAATTGGACGTTTCGGATACGCTCCATGCAGAGAAGCCGGTCATTCCAAATTACAGATTCTTTCATAGATAACGTTTTGGACGTGGTGGAGGGGGAGTTGGCATCTTTGTTAAGTGATCCTTTCAGTGTGTGTGACAGTGTCCGATTACACGGAACTAAGGCCGTGGGGGTCGAATTTTGACTGAGCAAGGGTTGTCACAGAATAATCTCGGTTTATAACCCTCCGAACAATCATTAGCTCCCAGAATCACTGGAAGAACTGCTGATGGGAAGCAACATTCCGACAATTGCTTCTGGTGACTTTAACGCCAAGTACAGACTATGGAGCAGAGCCATAAATCGAAATGATTAAGCGCTCTATGCTCATGTTGACAGACATGAATATCTTGTGCTGGGTCCGGATGAACCTACGTACTATCGCGGGCAGACTAGGCCTGACGTACTAGACATCGCGCTTCTCAGAAACGTCTCTCTGACTAGCGAAATTTACGTGCTGTCGGAATTGGATTCTTATCATAAACCTGTTATCCTGGTTCTGGACGATGATCTTCCTTCTCTTGATTATCGTATGAGATCTTCGACTGATTGGGATATCTTCACAATCTAGTTCGGAGAGATGCGCGCCCCTCCTGTGGCACTTCGCTCTCCCGACAAACTCGATGCGGCAGTTGAACGTTTCGAGCTATTTGTGAATGAAGAGGTACAAAATGAGTTTCTCCCTCGTATCAAAGCCTTGATACGAGAGAGAAATCGCTTGAGAAGGCTCTATCAACGAACCCTTTTCCCAGGAGATGAAATTGCGGCAAGTAGGATGGCCAATCAAGTCAAACAGGCCATCATTGATTGCTGAAACGAAAGGTGGGAGGATCTCTTGGAGTCCTTTGAGCCTGAGGATGACAAGCTTTGACGAATCACCCATCAGCTACAAGGGTAAGGGAGCTAGGCTCCAACCTGATTGAACTGAGGATGAGCTTGGTCAGAGAAGCCGCGGCGAATATTTGAACGATGTTATATTCCACACATAATGGCATCAATAGGCCTTTCAAACCAATACAAAATTTCGATATCTCACGCCCACTTAGTTTTGATTAATTTTTTTAGATAGGAAGCACTTAATGAAAAACCTTGTATAAACATTGAATTAAACGACAGAGAAAATATGTATTTGAAACAGTGGTGCGCTTTTATTGGTTGAAGCCATCAAGCAAAAGTTTTCTGTTGAATTTGAGAATTTGTCTGATTTTTTTGTAAAGTTCAGTCATAGGCAGAAAATGGCATGATTCAATCAGTGTAATTTCACTTTGTGAAGAGTTGATTTCAACAAAAAGCTTTGTAGACCAAATCTCTATCTAACACAAACATCACGTGTTTCAACGAAAAGCTTAAACAAACATCATATGTTTCAACTCTGAAAACTTCTTCGTTTTTCACTTCAGATCCAACAATATCTTTTGAATAAAGGTTTATTTTCATTAACAATACAATCACTACACGGATTTTGAGGAAATTTTCGTTATATTAACCAATTTGATATTTCGTAAACACTGCCATCTTGCGACAGTGGTCTTCTAAAATACAATAAAAATAATGCAAAAAAGAAGGAGAAGAAGAAGTAGGCAAGAGGTTATTTAGAATCTAGGTTTTTTCCTATGATTCAACAATCTTTTTATTTGATGCTTTATCGTTCATTTTTATCAGTTTTATTAGTTTTATTTTCATCCAATGCAAATTATCCACATCTAGAAAAATGCCTCCTGTGGTAGTCGAAAATACTTTCTGTGGCCTTCTGTCCAATGAAGAAAACCTACAAGTATGTAAATTGCTTGGAAGTCGATGCCAATCCCTTTGCTCAACAGTTGTCCAACTGTTTCAAACACAACCTCCCAATCATTCCCACTGGATAAAATCTTCGACAGGTAAAGTTCTTTCATTCAATTGTATAGTTCAATATAAAACATCTACAGTAAACAAAATATTCAAAGCTCAATATATTATATCTATCACTATCAATAAAATAATTTTGCCGTAGTAAATCAACTTTCACCATTAGAATTAGGTACTAAGTACCAAGATTCCAGAGCGCTCAGACTTAATGCCATTTAAAGAAAGCTAATATTTTCACAAATAAATTGAGTAATTGAAGGAAAGTATTTTTTGTGATGCAAACAGAAAGCTTGGTTTTGTGTTAAGAAACGCCAGGAATTTCAAATGGGAACTAGGAATTCTTCTATTCAATGCCTTCGTCAGATCAAAGCTCGAATACGCTTCAACAATCTGGAATCCGCAAACAGCATTTCATTCAGAGATAATAGAAAACATACAGAAGAAATGTCTTAGGTACACCAACTTAAAAAAAAATAAAGAGTCTCCCTCTATGATCTCCTATTGGACTCAACTAGAACATTTTGACATGCCAACCCTGTCGGATCATCGAGGCTTGAATGATGTACTATTTATATTCAACATATTTAATCAGATAATAAATGTACCTCAGTGTGATCAATCTTCATAGAAATAAGACAGTCATTAAAAAAAAAAGTGCCATATATACCTGTTTTTATTAACGTTTCTCTTGTACGTACGTCTAAGCCATAGGTCGCCGAAATGTAAAATATAGAAAGCGTTTTCTAGTAATTGGGCTAATGATATGGGGGTGCCCCAGGGCAGTGTTTTAGGGCCTCTCCTATTCATTATTTACCTGAATGATATCAATTTAGTAAAAGGCTATGATTTCCTTAACCTTTTTGGGGACAATAGACAATACTTTAGTAGCATGTTATGGTATTGATTTAGGTGAAACACTAACAAGACTAAACCATGTTTTAAACTCTTTTGAATCATTTTTGAAAACTAATAAGATGAAATTAAATTCAAAGCAAATAAAGGCAGTGATCATGAGTACAATATACAAATTAAAAAACGTAAACTACTATCATTTACACATAAAAATAGAAGGTGAAAATCTGGAATGGGTTAGAGAATTTGAATGTCTAGGTTTTATGATGGATGATAAACTAAGTTTTAAAAGTCACAGCGATTGTATGTGTAAAAAAATATCAAAAAAGCGATTCTTTCTATCTAGAGTATCCCATAACATGTCTCTCTTTTCCAAAATTACCATTTATAGGATGATAATACAACCCCACTTCGACTATTGTGCTAGCTTACTGTACTTGTTGGACAAAAACTGTTTAATGACTTTACAAAAACTTCAAAATAGGGGTTTGAGAATCACTCTGCAATGCAATGAATATGTTCCAATTGATCTGATGCTGAGAACTTTGAACTGGTATAATGTAAATGAATGCCTGTTTTTCTTGACAATGGTGTTCATTTATAAAATAACAAAAACGTTAGTCCCAAGTTATCTTAGTTCATTAATTACATATAATAATGAGATCCATGCTTATCCTACAAGGAACGTGAAGAACAATTTCCATATAGCTCAAACTCGAAATGTAAGCTTAATGAAATCAATTTTTACAACAAATCTAAAACATCATCAACATGATAATAGAACCAAGAACCATTTTCATTTGCCATTAGCTGGATTCAAAGTAACTTTGTGTGGACCAGAATATATTGGTCCAAATATATACAACCACCTTCCACCTCTGTGTTCAAAAATCATTCCACAAGGTTCACATTTGGGACCGCTGTTGAACCTTTTTATCAACGATCTAATCAGCTGTTTCCATGACAGCGAAGCTTTGCTATTTGCCGACGATTTAAAAAGTTTCAAAATAATTAATAGTGAAGCTGATACATTGTGTCTACAAAACAATATAGATTGACTATCCAACTGGTGTTCGCCAAATGCCAAATTCTTGCACATTACCCAATTATTTTCGAATACAGTATAAATAATCGGACCTTACATTCTGCTATTGAAAACAAAGATCTAGGTGAGATCCTAGACTCCACACTTAGCTATAAATCACACATTTCCGCTCTAATTCAAAAATTTATGAAGATGCTTGGCTTTATAAAGAGAACCACTCGTGATTCCACCAACATCACTGCTATTAAATCTCTTTATTTTTCCCTGGTTAGATCTCATCTCGATTATTGTTCAACAGTTTGGTCCCCTCATTATGTTACACAAAAAGTGAACCTCGAGGCCCTACAGCACAATTTCCTGCGATATATTGTCTTCAAGATGCGTGTATACTATGACTATACTGCATTGGAATGCATTTTAAACATACCTTCTCTTGAGGCTGGCAGAAAACATAGAGATTTAATACTTCTATTCAAAATTATCAACGGACTGAGTATCAGTCCCGAGCTTCTCTCCGAAATATCTTTACATGTCCCCAGTCGTTCAACTAGACAGGTGCAAACGTTTTACGTTTCTTTTCACAGATTTAATTATTCATATAACGGCTTGCCCGTGTATATAAATAAATAAATAAATAAATTTTGTATTGTAGTTTTCTACACAATTTTGTTGTCTGATTAGAAATGAAAAATCAAAAAAAAGGTAAAATCAACATTCCTATTGTTCAACAGAACGAGGTCTATTATACCCTTTGAACAGTACTAAAAGATGGTTCAACAGAGCGGTAACCAACTTCCAGATCTATTCTTTTGGGTTTTTGTTGGGTTCCATTTTTGGGGGGTTCCATTTTTGGGGGGTTCCATTTTTGGGGGTTCCATTTTTTGGGTTCCAATACTTTGGGTTCCAATTTTTTGGGTACCAATTTGAGGGGTTCCAATTTTTGGGTTCCAATTTTTTTGGGTTCTATTTTTTTAGGGTCCATTTTTTGGGTTTAAATTTATTTGCGTTTTCATTTTTTTCTTTTTTTCAGGTGTTCTTTGTTTTGTAAAAGACAACGTCAAGAAAAATTTTTTCTTTCGCTTATTCTGTCTTCAAAGGAGTATGAAAGTGTGGGAACAAGAAATGTACAATAACATGGATTACATTGAAGCTACTCCATATTTTCACATGTTTGAAGCTGAGGACTACATGGTGGCATTCAATTTTGCTAGTATTGAAGAAGCCCGTGATCTTAGGATAGTAGTTAATCAAAAAATTCAAGCGAGAAAACGGAGAGAGGAAAAAAGGTTGAGACAAGTGAGTCAGAGTCAAACACTTCCTCCTCCTACCACTCACGTTCAACTTCATGGATATAACAAATCGATGGACTCTGCTGAGAAACAAGCCAAGCGAAAGAGGAATATTACCAAGGCTGACATTGGAATACCGAGAGACTTTAAACACATATCACATGTTGGCTGGAATTCAACGTCGGGATTCGATATCGATACTGAAGATGAACAATTGAGGAAGTTTTTCAAAAAGGTAACATTATTTTTGTATGAATATAAGAAAGGTCCAATGAAAACTTTTCGTCAAGTTTTAACTAATAACAGATAACTGTCCCATTTGATTTTGGTTGAATAGATACATCAGTGTGGCACAGTAGTCAAAGTGTGGCCTTATTATGCAGTTGTAACATGTTAGTCTAGCAAAGGTTGATGAAGATTTTGAAATTCTAGAGAAAAAATACATTTTCTTACATATCTTTTTAATGGTTTATTCGGCATGCTTTTTCAAATTTAATTGATGGTCTATAATGAATCCTAGGTACTTAATTTATCTACAATCGTGAGTTGATTATTGAATATGCTGATATTAACGTCTTTAGTATCAATCTTTCATTGATTCGAATTTGTTGTAACAAACATTGCCTTAGATTTATTGATATTCAATTTGAGTTTGTTAACTTGTAGATATAATTCAATGTTCTTTAAATATATATTGATATTTTGTACAGCTTCTTTTAAATCACAGTTTTTTGTATATACAATGGTATCATCAGCAAATAAATTAATATGGTGTGAACCAGGTACATAGTTGATATCATTTATATAAATAATGAATAGCAGTGGTCCCAAAACACTACCTTGTGGTACACCTATGTCATTTATAATTTGATCTGAGATTACATCACAAATTTTAGTCCTTTGACTTCTTTGCTAAAGATAACTGTCTAACCAGTTTAAAGCTTTTCCAGTTACACCATAATACTTCAGTTTATTGGTTAAAGTTTTCCTATTAATTGTTTCAAAGGCACGCTTGAAATCTAGAAATATAACAACAATATATTCTTTCTTATCAATACTTATTTTCCACTCTGTGACTGTTAGTTATGTGACTGTCTTATTTTATATTTATTATTCTATTTTCTCTTTAATAATTTTAGTAACCCTGGCTTGACACTTCCTATACATGTAACCGTCAACGGGAAACAAAGTTTCATTATTAATATTATCACTATTATTATATTTCAAGGTTTTGTCCTTGAATGTGAATGTATTATAAATATTCCAGGCTGGAGTTTCTGAGAAACAGCTTCAAGATAAGAGCACTCGAGATTATATCTACGACTTCATTAACCGCAACGGTGTACGCGAGGCACTCGTACAAGAAACCAAAAAAGCAGATGGCGACCCTCCAACAGTTCCCCCAAGAGCGCCGGCCTCGAGACCACCACACTTCAGAAATGCCCCGCCACCACCTGTACCAATAAAGTCCAACAACGGAAACGTTACCCCCCACAAACCGAAGATGAGCATTGCCCCTCCCAAAAAACCTGCTCCTCTTCCAGGAAGCGCGCCTTCAACTCCGCCGCCGCCGCCACCGCCGCCGCCGCCACCTCCTCCACCCCTACTTTCATCGGATAGCTCGGAAAAAAATGAGAGGGGCCTGAATGTAATACCCCCACCAACTTCAACTGCTGCGTCTCATTCACCTAAAGTAAATAGTTCAGATCTAAGTTCAGAACTGATGCAGAGCATAAGAGAAGGAACGACACTGAAGGTAATCACATACATTTCTAGTGCAAAGTATTAACTAACACATAATAATAATAATAATTGTAATTTATTGAACAAAATTACAATTTTGCTCAACTGGCACGTGAAATTTGGCTGAATAAGTTGAAATTGTGCCTTAAAACTTGAACTTTGCATCTTCAACATGAAGTTTGATCTTTCAACTGATGGACCTTCAACTTCTAAATTTGGCCTTTCAATTTTAAATTTGCCCTTGAGTTTGAAAACAGTACCTTTGTGGCCGTTCAACTTGAAAATTTAGTTTTCAACTTGAAATTTGTCCCTTGAAATTCGTCCCTTGAAATTTGGCCCTTTAGCATGAAATTTGGCCATTTAGCATGAAATTTGACACTCCAACTTGAAATTTCACTCTTTAACATGAAATTTGACCCTTTAATTTGAAATTCGGCCCTTTAATTTGAAATTTGGCCCTTTAATTTGAAATTTGGCCCTTTAATTTAAAATTTGGCCCTTTAATTTANTATATACACATATATACACACATATATATATATCTATAAAGTTAAATACAGTATAGAATATACTGTATTTAACCTGAAGGTTCTGGTGCATCTGTAAACCAACAATTATTCGCTCCTAATATTTCCTTCTCCCGCAGGATCCAGCCCTCTCTACTCGGGAACAGTACTGTTACGTCCTTGCGTTTTATTAAATTATCTTTTGCGTGGGTGGACAATGAATAACTAATAAACCAGTGGTACACTTATTCGAACTGAATAACTTTATTCACCTACACAATTTACACTTTTACTAATCACAATAGTTCAGTTCACACTGTAACGTCTTCCTCGCTGTTGCATTCAAATTTCCGCGCTCTAATTTTAGAATAGCTGTTTGCCTGTCGGCTGCCTTATATACCTCTAGTTTAGTATCTCGAACACTCTACTTTCTTCGATTCGTTCCGCAATCTTCGCTATGTGTTCCACATTATTCCGGTTCCTTCGATGGATGTTCGCAGTGTGTTTACTTTTTCAGCGGCGGGTAATTCCCATAGGCGTAGACACTTGCTTCGGCGCGCGACGTAACAGTACTTTATAAGGCAGTTCGTAGTTGACAGTTGGAGGTATAAAGTCAGAGGTAATTTCCAGAAACGCTGTAGCTTCCAGTGGCAACCAACAGTCTGTTGCTCTTTGCATTAAATTGATTTGTGCAATGGGGAATGTTCCTCCTGACGAAAATCAAGTAGTTTTCATAAAAGAGCTCCAAAACAACGCATTTTAAACTTATCTTTTCAACCTTTTTCTTTAAAAAATTATTTAAATATGTACTTAAAAAAGAGGAATGAAATAATGCATTCAATATTTAAAGGGATTCGTTTCTATTTCACCATTTGGCAACATCGGTTATAGCTAATAAAGGACAATGAATATCTTACCTGTATGAGACAAACAAAGAAGACATGTTTCAGAGGTGTGCTGTTCTGTTTACTTATGTTCCGAGACATTCTGTGATATATGACATTTTGTGCACCTAACCTATCTTCCTCTATATAAATAAAAAACAAAACAACTGTTGTTTATGTGGCTTGTGAAGGTGGTATTGAACTATAATTTGTATTTTGTCTTAATTGTTGATTTATAAAGATAATTTTCCTTTTTTAAAGTAGAATATCTAGGTTCGTATAAATTATTTCAACTTGATATATTATATGCAAGGTAAAATATTTTTAGGAATGGCAGGTAAAGTTCTAGGCGCTGTTGCCAATATGTGAGTTAGGAACAAATCCCTTTAAAAATTAAAACCCAACATTTGAAACATCAATTTGAATACTTTTCGAAGTGAATTTGAAAACCTCATGAATTGAACTCAACTTTATTTTGTTCAAACTTGCATTTGCTGTAGTAACCCAAACTGAGGAACATTCCCCATTACTATAGTCCGTTCATAATTTGTCGATAGCACAAAATGAGGGCCCAAGTCATAAAACGGTTTAATTGCTGAGCAAGAAC